TACCGGAGAAAAACCAAAAAAAAAAAAAGAATCATCTGAGAGAGGACTGTTTTAAAACCTTTGCTTAAAATTCCACTAAAGCAGAATCTCACTTTTGGGGGCCCAAGACAAAAATTTGGAATTCCGGCACCTCTGGTTAAGAATCACTGCTAAATGTTTATACTTTAAAAAAGAAAGTTAAACCCTAAACATTTTCTAACATATGGCAAGTAATTTGGTTATTATACTTTTGGTGCACATGGTTAGGAGTCAAACACACTTGAGCTCAAATCCTATTTGTGCCATTGTTAGCTGTATAAATGTGGGAGATGTCTCTGCACCTGAATTTTTTTTATCTGTCAGATGGACATAATAACATGGGCTGGTGATGTAGCTCAGTGGCACAGCACCTGCCTAGCAAGTTCAAGGTCCTGAATTCGATTCCTGCCCTCCCAAAGGACATAATAACAGCATTAAACTTAGAGCATCAATGGAAGATTTCAGTATTCAAAAAATACCTGGAACAGTGTCTGGTTCACATCAAGCATATGATAAACTGAACTATTTATTATACATTTTAAAAATTAATAAGAATAGTATCAAGTATGCTACAATTTAAAGACCTTATCCGAAGTAGAGAATCTCTTTAAAATCTGTTAGGTGAGGGGGCCGACTGCAACTGGTGGTGTCATACTAACCAGCAGAAGAGATGTCCTTTCCCGCAGTCCACGGCAGGGGCTCTCAGCAACGGGAAGCTGAGGCTGTCAGATCCAGATGTATTTGACCCTTGTTTTGTGAGTCTGACTGCCCTTTCACAGCCTGCAGTAGGACACCATTTAATGGCAGGATTATTTTCAACAAAGGCCTGCGTGAATAGTAGTAACAAAAAGCAAAAGAAACTATTTTAACTCTAAATTACAATACAGTGTGCCCCCACCATAACTTAAAGCAAAGCAACACAAAATAAAAATAAAGTACAGAGTTGTCAGTCTTGAAAATTAAAATGCTATTCCCAAAACTTAAGGAAAGAAGTGGGAATTATTTTAGTAAACAAACAATTTTTTTAATTTAAAAATCAGGTAAATAATGATATAAAAAATGCAATTTTTCTTACACAGGACATGTATAACTTAAAATTTTTTTTTATACAACATGCTACTTTTCTGATGAAATACAATTATAAGTAGAATATCTGTTATCAGAATCTTGTATGTAATTACTAGTTGTATCAGGATAACGAACTCCTAAATGGCATCTTAATACATAAAAATTATCATGATGATGTCTTCTATATTAAAGCAGGACTTTTAAAACATACATATGAGGGTTTAGAATAAGAAAAATCTACACATAGCAATTTAAATGTATCTGTTACATTATAGGAAAGACAGTAACTTACATATGCTTTTAAAAAAACAATGAAAATGAAGGAGAAAAAAATTTCTAACAATGTAACTTGTTATACAACACTATTACTTAGAATAAAAAATAGTATTTCCAATTTAAATTTTTATTTCTATATGTTTATTTTTGGAGTATAAAAGATTTTAGTTTTGAATGTTTTTTTTTTTTTTTTTTTTTTTTTTTTTTGAGATAGAGTTTCACTACGTAGTTCAGGCTGGCCTTAAACTAACTTATGGTGATCCTCCTGCCTCAGCCTCCCAAGTGCTGGGATCACAGGCATATGCCACCATGCCTAGCTTAAAGTATAAAATATTTTGGAAAACTCTGAACACTATCTTGATCAATTAATTATAAAAGCATGACAAGGAAATTAGTACATAGTTTTGAGCAATAACTACCTTTTGGAAGAAACTACCACACAGCCTGTCATTTCTATTTTATGATAAACTATACCTTGGTTTAAAACTTTAATGTCACCATTCCTTAATGCAATTTTTCCTGAGAAACAAAAGTTGGAAACTTTTTTTTATTTTTGTGGTACTGGGGATTGAACACAGGGCCTTATGCATGTTATGTATGCTAGGCCCTGAGCTACATCCCCAGCCCACAATAGAAACTATTTATGATGGTTAATCTTTTTTTTTTGTTTTGTTTTGTTTTTGGAGCTAGAATCTTACCATGCAGCTCAGGCTGGTAGCGAATTTGAACTGTAGTCCAGGCTGGCTTTGAACTCATGGTAATCTCTCTGCCTCAGCCTCCCAAGAGCTGGGATTATAGATGTGCACCAACATGCCTGGCTGGTGACTATTAATGACTGTCAACTTGCCTGGTTTGAGAGGTACCGAGTTCTGGGTACTCTAGGTGGCTCACACTGGTGTGACCTTGGGGACAATTTCTAATCTCTGGTCTTCCCTGAGTGCTCCTCCCTAGCCACTATGGAGTGAGCAGCCTAGCTCCATTACACCCTTCCCCACGATGCCATTCCTACCATGGAGTCAGCGAACCAAGGACTGAGACCTCTTAAACCATGAGCCCAGAACACCTCATTTAAACTGCAAGTGTTAGGTACTTAGCTCAAGCAATGGAGAAGCTGCCGAACATATCATCATTTTATGTTTTCGAAAATAAAAACAAATAACATCTGTTATACAGGTTTAGTGAAATTAAAATTTTGATTATCAGATTTTGGCTGCATACCTTAATATCAAACTGTAGGTATCGTTTGTCCATCTCCTTAGAAACTACACTTTCTATGATATCCACAGGCACAAGTTGAAAGCACTCATATGCAGGGCAGAAAATGTTGTGAGCTTCACCTTCTTGAATTTTCAGATTTAAAAATCTATTGAAATCATCAATTGATAGAAAAAAGGCATGGGTATGTTATTTGTACATTCTAAGAATTTTTTAAAATCTAAATTTTCTGTTAAGAGTCCAATTAAAATACCAACAAACACTAGGATGTATAGCTCAGTGGTGGAGCTGTGTGCTTAGCACGCACCAGGACTTGGGTTTAATCCCTAGAGTGTGCATGTGTACACACAGACACACAGACACACACACACACACACGTGCACATACATGCACACAAACACAGCCAGTGAATTATGGGATATCAATGATAATAGTACCTGCTCAGCCATTTATTTTCTATGTATATATGTATTTATGTATATACACATACAAATATATATATGTATACACATGTATTAGTCTATTTTATACTTTGTTTCACTTCATCTTTAAAATTTGGAACTATGTTTTAATTTTATTTAACATTCAATACTCCAAAATTGAGTGGCTTAGAAGGTCATATTTTTTGTAATATACTATACATTTAAATAAATAGGTGCTATAGTAGAAAGTTTTCTCTTTACATCTCATTTTGATGAATATTATAAAAAGTTCTATGACACATTCTAGGTAGACTACTGAGGAAGTAAGGAAAAGACATAAAGTGGCAGGAATCTAGCCAAAGGTAAATTAAATCATTAAGAACAAGATTTTTCTTTTTTTTTTTTTTTTTTTTTTTTTTTTTT